GAGGGGGCGGCGGGGGGGTTTGGGAGCCTGGCCGATGCAGGAAGGACCTGGGATGGCCAAGGCCAGCCTGCTCCCTCACCCTTCAGCTCCCTGGGCCCCCGCCATGGAATTCTGAACTTTAACAAGCCCCAGAGTGGAGGTTTTAAGGAGGGGAACGTGATCTGGCTTATACGTTTGTAATCATGTGACTGATGTATTTACTTTGGCCGCACGATTTGCTAACCGCGCCTTTAAGGCTCTGCCCCAAGTGCAGCTTCTCGTCTTTGCTCACAAGACCCGAGCCAAACTGTTTAATGAGATACAAGCTGATTTCTCCTTCCACATGTAGCACGTGGGATAAGCATATTTGTGGGAGCCAAGCTATGGACTAAGTTTCCATACGGAGCAGTCCCCAGGTAAGAGCCACCCCCGGGAGCTCTGTGAATGCCATCATGGCCGGCGGGCATGTGTTCTGTTCCCCACCCGCCGGGCTGGGGTTCGGTCCCCTCGTATGTGGGTGGGCAGCTCCACCTGCTTCCATTCGCACCGCGTCTGCCTGGGTCTCTGCGTCACCGCGGGGCCCGGGGGGCACCTGTCCCCACCCGCAGGATTAGCTCTGTGGGTGGTGGGGCCCAGCGGTGTCAGACCTCCAGGTCCCAGGATGACCGTATCACTGAGGGGGCAGTGGGAGAGATGCCGGCGGGGGCTGGCTGGGGCCTGAAGCAGAGGGGGCTGAGGGGGCGTGGTGTGGCAGGAACAGACCTCAGGGGTCCACAGCACGGGGCTCCAGTCCAGGGCTCCTTTGCTGCGGGACCCAGGACATGCACGCATCTGCTTGTGCGTCCATCCCCTCACCCGTCCAGTGAGCACACGACACTCCTTGCAGAGTCACTGTGACGAATTTTGCAAAGAAGGTATTTAAAGTACCGGCGTTAGGTAGGCACCGAAAGGGACTCCAGGGGACAATCGCACGATGCTGAGATCCGTCAGTCCAACTCCGCACGTGCTTTTCACGGCAGGCTGCGAGCACAAAGAAGGCACAGGGACGATTACAGTCACCTCCAGCTTCCCGATGAGGTCATCGAGAAGCTCGGGACTTGCCCGGGGTCGGACAAGTCTGAATTTGTGCTGGACCCCACCGACGGCCTGGGCCCTTCCTCCCGCGTTGCCGTTCCTGTTGGGGGGAGCATCCGGGAGCCTCATGTCCCTGCTGTGACTGCAATGCAGTGACATTTGTATATATTGGGCCCTGAGTGACAGCAGTTAGGGGAAGGGGCGGCTCCGGCCAGATCCTGACAGCAGGGTCTGTGGTGGCAGCCCCCCTCGCCCCTCCTGCATGCCACCTCCCGTCCTGACCTCGTCCTGCTGGCTAGACCGGGATTGATTTCCACAGGCGGGCCCTGTGCGGCTTTGCCATGGGCGCCGTGGGCATCAGGCCCCGGGGGCGTGAGTGGCCCCACCAGTGCGTGGCCTGGAAAGGGTCCGATTAGCTGAATGAGTCATAGATTGAGAAGCATCGTCTGAGAGTGTGGGCGAAGGAGGCTGCTCCTGGGTCCGCGTGATGTTAATGTGCCTGTGTTTGTCAAGACAAAGTCACAAGAAATCAAAGTAGGTCTTCAGATTAGAGAGCTGGGGGCGACATCCTTGGAAGTGCATCACGGACCCAAGCCGCACAGAACGGAACAGGAGGGAGTGGGGCTGGCGGCGGGCCGGGTGTTTGCAGCAGAGCCCAGCGGCGTCGGGAGCGCGAGGAAGGCGGGGCGGCGGGCCTGATGTGCGCTCCTCTCCCTTCAGGAGCTCGGGGGGCCCTGTGACAGCACCTTAGCATCTGGAGAGTCTTCGCAGGGTCCCCTGGTGGGCACATGGGGCTCCCCGTCAGCGGGCCCACTGGCGGGTGGATTGAGGGTGTGGGCTGGGCTTCCACCGCCAGAGTCTGGTCACAACAAGGCCCCTCGCCTGTGTCCCTGGAAACCTTGGTGTCACCGCTCTCTCCGTTGTCACTAGAGCACTTGCTGAAAAAACTCAAGAAAAATCGTTTATTCCGCAGGCTGACCCCCAGCTCATTAAGGGTACATATATGAAGAGAAGCCGATTTCCTTCTGTTTGAGCCGGAGGGAAGGCGACACTGGATGTGTGCATGGCTTGCCTCCTTGGCAAGCTCGGGAAGAGGGGGGCTGGTGTAGCCCAGGTGGCCAGAGCCTGTCCTCAAGGTGCACGGCAGGGAGCAGGTCCACCAGCCCTTGCGGGCGGCCCCCCGCCGACGCGGACCAGCCTCCCAGCCAAATATGCCCATCCTGGATCCGTCTGTCCGTCTGGCGTCCATGAGATTGCTGAAGGGCTTTCATGGCTGCGGCCACACGTCCCGAGTGCCCACGGAGGGCAGAGCTTGGTGGGGAGGGAGCTCTGGCTCAAGCATACAGACGGGCATGTGTCCAAACACCGGGACCGGGCGGCTCCGGGGGGCTGCAGCTCCTGGGACCCAGGCGGAGGGCGCTGTCATGGGGGCCCTTGCAAAGACGGAGCACCCCACTCTTAAGGACTTTGCACGACCGAGAGAGTCCTGTTGCTCAGGATGGGCATCGGGTGGTCAGCGCTGCTTCTGAGACTGACCAGAGCCTGTAAACGTTCTGCCTTAGCGAGGGAGGGGGCCTAGAGTTCTAGCGACCCCTGAACCCCACCCTTGCCATTATGCAGTGTTGCACAGAAAGTACTAGAACAGGGGTTGCAAAGGCGATGGTGACGGGTCTGGGCCTTGAGGGCTCTGGTGCTGGACTCCGCCACCATCTGCCAACAGCCGGACGGGGCTGTGATTCTGTGAAGCGTTATTTTGGATGGCAAGACTTGAATTTCCTCTAACGTTCACAGAGCATGAAATAGTCCTCTTTGATTTTTGTCAACCACTTAAAGACGTAGAGACCATGCCCAGCCTGGGGGCTGTTCACGGGCAGGTGGCGGGGGCTGGACGTGGGGCTGCGGTCTGCCCACCAGGCTGGCCCGTCCGCAGCGGGCCCCAGCGGGAGGCAGACAGCACGCCCTGTGGGTGACAGCAGAGTGTTGGGGGGTGGCTGGTACGGTGCGACGGGCAGGGTGAGAGCCTGGGGAGCATCCCCCAGGGAACCAGCCTCAGTGACGGGACACCCTCACCCTGGGATCTGAGGCCGAGGGAAGGGAGCTGTTTCTGCAACCCACTGGGACCCACGGCTCTGAAGCAGGTGCCTGGTAGGAACCAAGAGAAGCCTCGTCCACTGACCGGGGCCCCCTGGGTGGGTCCGTGGGGCCAGGCTCCCGGGGCACAGAGCACGGGGGAAAGAGCAGGGGGCGCCCCTGGAAGGGCAGGTGGCAATGAGTAACACGGGTTAGAATTACCAGTGTTCCCCCAGTGACGTGGGGCAGCTCAGTTTTTTAGAAGACTTTTTGAAGGATTTGTTTTGTGAACCTGCGTGTGTGAGAGAGACTTTAATGTGCCCATGTTTCGAGCATTAAAGGAGCCGAGAAAATCTTCAAAATGGATATTTTGTTTGAGTTTCAAGGATTGAGGTGACCTCACTTGGGGAATTACGATGTGTTTGCTTTTATGTGACACTGTGCTATTAAATGCTTGCCGTAAAATGAGAATACTGCTTTTCGTGATGGGAAGAGATTGCAACCATCCCTGGGGAGTGGGCCCCGTGGGCAGTACGGGTTAAAGATGGCGTTTTCCCTGCAGACAGTGCATCGGTCTCAGGGAGACGGGAGACAGATGTCAATGCGGCTTCCGCCCCTGGGGACGCAGCCCCGGGCACGGGGACGGCCTGCGCGGGTCTGTAGACCTTGACCCTGAGCAGGGGCCTGACCTGCTCAGACAAGTGTTTGAAATGGAAATATTTTATATTTTGTTTGAACTGCTTATCTGGGCGGTGCCTTTGATTCTTCAGCAGGCGCTTTGGCGAGGAGCTGGGGACGGAATCAGAGTGAGAGGACAGCCTTGCTTCGAAGGGCTCTGCTCTCAGGGGCTGCCGGGGGGCTATTGCTCGGGGACGTTCGCTGCCCCTCTAGCCGCGGGGCCAGTCTGCACTCGGTGGCAGCCCCGTTGGTCCCGGCCCTCATTTGCTTGCTTGCAGAGAGGAGACCGTGGTTTCCCCGTGTCAGGACCCTTAGCACGCGGGCAGCAAGGGCGGGGCAGGTGCGATCCACGGTGCGTAGGAGCTCGGGGCCTCGCCAGTGCACCTCAGCCCGGGCCGGCGGCGGTGGATCTCGCGGTCAGCCCTGACGGCCAGCTTCGGGAACTGGGTTTTACTGTGTCTCTAACATCTTCTCTTCACTTCTAGACGCAGGAATCTTTAAACCCAAACCACTTAGAATACTGGATGGAAGATATTTATACCCCAGGCTACGACTCCTTGCTAAAGCGTAAGGAAGCCGAGTTCAGACGAGCCAAGGTCTGCAAGATCGCCGCCCTGATCGCCGCCGCCACGTGCACAGTCATCCTCGTGATCGTCGTGCCCATCTGCACAATGAAATCATGAGCCTGGGGCCGCCGGGCGGTGGGGCACAGCCCGTGACTGCCGGCGCCCCCCTCCGTGGCGGGAGGGCTCGGGGCGGTGGAGTAGGGATGGAGTCCCGGAGGCTCTCTGCCAATGTGTCGTTGCTCTTCAGAAAGTGCGCATTCTCCAGAGAAACCCTCCCTCCTGCTGGCTTTGACTTCATGACGCTTGGAGGCATTTGGGGAGGTGCGATATGGTTTCCCACCAAAAGAACGTACTGGGCTACCAGTAGATACAAATTGAATTCTAAGCAAAAAAAAAAAAAGGAAATTAATTGGATTCTTTCCATTTTAGTGAAGTTTCATAGTGGGGAATATATTATACAGAAGATATTTAGTACCTGCCTGCTTGGGGAAGTTAAGGGAGATAGCAAGACGAGAAGGAAAAAAGACGAGTTCTGTTTTCCTTCACGTCCTCAGACCGCTGCAGGTGAAGTAACAGGTGTCGTGCTCACAAAGGATGTTGCTTCTCTGTTGACTTTCATCAAGGGCTACTGACTTTTCATTCTTGCCCTTCTGTCATCATTACGATCTTCACTGCAGATCTTCACGGAACATTCTGGACCTTCCCCCTTGCGCACAGGGTAGGAAGGAGCTCAACTGCCCAATCGGGTGTGGCACGGAGTGTGCTTCCTCTGCTTACTAGGCTGAGGTACTCAGGCCAGGAGACCTTCCTGTCCCCACCCCGAGGCGTGGGGGGAGAGCTGCTTGCCAACAGAGTGAGGCCAGTTCTTTGAAAATCACGGCCACCCGAAGGGTCTCCCATGCTCGCTTTGGTGTGTGGCTCCAGTCCTTGGTCTTCTGTCTCCTGGTGGCCCCGGATGTTCTGCTTCTCACCCCCAAGTTGAAGAGTTTGGAACGTGTCCTTGGGCCTTGAAGAGTAGAGACAGTGGCTGAACTTTGACATTCTAACTGTAAGCGGTGGTTTCCGCGTGCCCCTAATCCCAGCTGTTTCCGGTGGCTTTCACGGGATCTTGCAAGTGTGTCAATAATACGATAAAGGCACCGAGGTGTTCTTAACCACAGCGACACCAACTCCAGAGTTCTTGTCAGCAGCGCAAAAAAATTTCTCTATTTAACCGTTTAGCAATCTATCTGTATGTCTATCTAAACACCTAGTTTGGGGTTATTGTCTTCTCTATTAAATAACTTGAAAGCAAGGTTTCTCCAGCGTACAGAAAGCTGTTGTAACTCGATCAGATTTTGATTTCTGTTTCCACCTGTCGAATGGTGCTTTGACATAATTGGACAGAAAGAATCCTTAGCATTTGATTCTAATGTCTCATTACAGGTCAAAGAAAAATGACAGATACTAGCTACCTTAATTCTTCTGAGAACAAGGTGGGTAGCAAGAATAATCTCTCTGGACGGTATAATAAATTCCTGAAAGAGAGGTTTGGGGTGCATCTCAGATTTTAAAGCAATAGGAGTCCAGCATCCATCCCAGAAACCTTCAAGTAATGCTTAGCTTGCTCTGTCTATTCCTATAGTTCCCCACACGGGGTAGTCAGAACATTTCATGCTGTCAACAAGTAAGGGACGGATGCTTTCATCTGTAGTGAGCCTTCATTTTTAGGGGTCTTTATGTTACCTGTTTCTATTCTCCTGTTTACGTATGGACTTTCAACTAGGTGACTGAAACTTAAGCCTTAGTATGAAGAACTGAGGATTTATAATTGAAAATTTATATATATATATACATATATATATATTACTGTCTATTGTCAGAATTTTAGTCTTTTGGTGCTCTGTTCTGGGTTGGGTACACTAAATAAGGTTGTTTCTTTCATCCCAAAGGGGATACTAGATTCACACCTGCAAGAGTTGGGAGTCGCCATCCTAGCTTTCCTGCCAACCAGTGTGGCTCTGTGACACATTGTCCCTGTTACCACGGATTAAACCAGGAGAGCGTCAGAGATAGGTAGTTCCCAACGTCTCGCTCTATGATTTGCAGGGAAGTGGAGATACACTTACCCAGGATAAGAAAAACTTGGTCAGATCCCAAGCACTGCTCTCCTTGCCAGGTGGGACCGTGGAGGATGGACCAAACTACTATTACTACTGCTCTTGGGTGCACCTGTTCCTAATGGGCCCTGCTTGAGCCATGTGTCTAGCTACCACCAGGGAAGCGTGACTGTAAGCCCCACCCCATGGGCGGAAGAGACAGGACTCTCTAGAATATTCTTCTACCCTTTTCATATCTGAGGAGGTAGCAGGGAAATTTCCTCTTGCTCTTAGTCCAGTGTAGCTAGAGTTCAACTCGACATCATTGCCACATAATGGACAAACACCCACACCTGCTGATGCCCTGGGAAACCAGATGACCCCAAAGGCAAGGGGTTTCCTATGGGAATGGGTTATCCCCAGCCTTACAGGATGGAGCGCGGTGCCAAGTTATGAATCTTTGCTGTGGCTTGAAGCTGATGGATGCTCAGGGTCTTGGGATCTAGAGAAGGTGAAGTTCACGGTTGGGTCTTCTCTCTCCACTGACCCCAAGCTTGTGACAGCCTTCTTTCCCTGGACCCCAGATTCCTCCATCCCTGTATTTGCAGAACAGGGCACAACCAGAGTCTGGCTGGGAAGGAGACCTCTACCCATCCCTCTCATCTCCTGCTGCTATGAGCTCCTGGTGGGTGACGTGTGGACTGGCCGGTCTTCTGTGCTGGGCACCACCTTCTACAATGTTCTTCGGCATTTTCACATGAAGTACAATTTCTTATGCCCAGGCCTAAAATCTATCAAAATTCACTTCATTTCTCTTGCTTTTAAAAAATGAACAATCTGAGGATGTTGCTTAAGGGATGATGTTGAAATCTGATATCCTCAGCCCCTGGTTAAATTTCAGAATCATTCAGTTCCTCTTTTCTAGTCTGATTTGCTTTGAACACAGCCTTGCAGAAAAGCAAAAAAGTTCCCAGCTCAGTTTTCAGATGTGTTACAACACTAGCCCCTTCTTCAAACTGCAAATACAGTAAAGCAAATCATATTTCAAACACCCATTACTAGCCGATCATAAACTTAGTATTTTAGGGCATGCGGCTGCGTGACTGATATCCGCAAGGCTACTTTAGTAGATACGTGAACTCTCCCCTCTGTGCCCCGAGTCCTGATACCCTTATCAGAATCAAGGCAGGGCTGTTTTTGTTTATACTTGATCAATATAAGAGTAATGGCACCTCCTTTTTTTTTTTTTTAACAAAAAATAAGCTCTGCCGACAGTAAATGATTCTGTTAAGTGGTATAAAAATTTGTGAATGTTGAAATGCAACATGCTTCATACTATAACCAACCTGCAAGAATATTGTGGTCAGTTGTGTGAATACCAAATCAATATATACTGTATATTGTACTACGGAAATTTGTATTTAAAGGCAAAGATATTAGTAATTGTCAGTATAATTGGGGGAAAGGGTACTAGATATTTATGGACTAACAATGAGAAATGCAACAAACTTCCTTATTTATGCCTTATGAATAAAAGGGTGTGAAATGTAAGGTGAAGTTTTCTGTGCGAGACTCAAGGAATGGATATTTTTGAAGGCAGGGATTGTCTTTTCTATGTTTGTTCTGCATATAGCTGTCAGCACACTCTTGGTGCTTGATCAATGTTATATAATACCAATAACTAAGCACATTTTTAGATCTTTTTTCAAATGGCTTGTGTAAAATTTGGTTAACGTACAATGGTTGGTTTGAAGCTATTCGTGTACAATCTGCCTCTCCAAATATAATCAAAAATAAACTGAAAAATTATAAGGTCTCTTGAAGTGAGATTTTATTCTAGGCATAAATTGTAAGTATTCAGTTTTATGCACACATCATAAGTGTCCAACTTGGTGGAATTTTGCACAAATGGAAAGCATGCGAATGACGAACACCCAGATGAAGAAGCAGGACATTCAGACACCTGAGAAGCCTCCCTCATGCCCCCTTCCGGTTAAAACCTGGCAAAGAAAAATGGCCATCCTCACTTCTGAGGATGTGTACAACGTGGACAAGTCTCACAGGATGCTGAGCTCACAAGTGTAACCACCCTCTGTCACCACAACGCTATTACAGCATCATTGACTATTGTGGGTGCTGTACCTTCCATCCCGTGACTTCTTCATCCCGTTTCTGGAAGCCTGGCCCTTGCGCTCCCCGTCACCCACCAGCCCACCCATCCCCTGCCCGTCCCTCCGGCAACCACCAGTGTGTTCTTTGTATTCACGGGTCTGTTCCTGATTTTTGTTTGTGTGCTAAGTGAAGTAAGTCAGATAAAGACAAACGCCATAGGATTTCACTTATAGGTGTATTCTAGAAAAGCAAATGAATATATACTTTTTGTCCTTTTGTGTCTGTCTTCTTTCCCCCAGCACGATGCTGTGGAAAACATTGTGTTGCTGTGTGTGGTTGTAGTCTTCCCATTTTGTTGCCTTCACTGATGGAGAACAAGGCACAATTTATTTATCCATTCTACCATTGATGGGCGTTTGCCTAGCTTCCAGTGTGGGGCTATGAACACTCTTGTCTGCGTTTTTGGTGAAAGCATGTGTGCATTTCTGCAGTGGGCGCGTCTGGGAGTAAAACTGCCAAACCGTGAGGTACGTTCTTGCTCTGCTGGAGCAGATGCGGCCCAAACGTTGTCTCCGTGCTTCCACAAGTTGACCTTCCCCTCGGCAGCACGCTCGTGAGCTCCTGGTGCTCTCCGTCCACTCCCAAGGCACTCTCTCTCATCTTAGCTATCATGCAGGTGTGTCGTGGCACCTCGTCATGTCTTTAATTTACGTTTTCCTGAGGATGCATGAGGCTTGCTACCTTCTGTATGTTCATAGGCCCTTTGGATGTCCGAGTTTGTGAAGTGCCTGTTCACGTTTTTTGCCAGTTTTCCATTAGGCCGGTTGTCTTTTTCTTCATGATTTGTAGAACTTCTGTATACATTCTGAACAATGAGTTATTTGCCAGATATACATTACAGATACTATTTTCCATTCTGTGAGCTGCGTTTTTATTCTTTCAATGGCGTCTTTTTGATCAATAGAAGTCCTTGATTTTGATAGAGAAATACATCATTTTATTCATTATGATTGGCAATTTAGTCTATTTAAGAAATTTTTAGAGACTCCGAGGTCAAGAAGATGCTCTGTTTTCTTCTTGAAGCTTTATTGTTTTACTTTTCATGGTTAGATCTGTATGTCTTCTGGAATTGATATTTACATCTGGTTTGAGGTGGGGAGGGTTATGATATGTGTTTTCCCATGTGGGATATCCACTGGTCAGCACTATTTATTAGAAAGATCATCTTTCCCCCTTTGACACAAGTCTGTTGAATGTATACATGGCTTTCTGGACCTTCTATCCTGCTCCATTTGTCTATTCATCTGTGCTTGTGTGAGCACAACATCAACATAATATTTTTCCTCCCAGAGATATGAAGACATCCCTCACTGTAAAGTAAATGAATCATAGCTGACTTGGGCAGAGGCCGTAGGACATCTCTTGCTTGTGAAATCATATCGTGGAGGATGCCAAAGAGAGAGAGAATTCATCTGGCTTCTGTTATCTCATTGTGCTATTCACAAATGCCACTGAGTTCCCTGCCTGAGTCATTAAAGAAAAATGACTGGACCCAAGTCAGAGCACATTGCAAAAAGCAATTAATATCTTGACACCTGCACACAGAGAGAAGTCTCTGATGTGAGCTTGGACAAGGTTAGGGTGGCCACACAACGGTGGGTTTAAGAACGCTTCTCGGTTTTACAATAAGATATTAATTCAGACCTAAATCCAAGGTTTGCATATAGATCGACTGGACCTGGATTGCATTTTGCCGAGTGCTCTGAACAAGTGAATTAAGGAAACAGCATGTAAGTAATCTTGTAGGGAAAATGTTTATCCTCCCCATGAGGACAAATCAATGTGCATTGTGCTATCGTAAGGCATTTTAGTCTGTCATTAATTTAGATTCTTCCCTCCAAGTACCAGCGAAAGTCAATACTTGCTTAACTTACTTTATGCTATCGAAGGTACTTTTAGAAAAAGCACACCATCTCTTAGTGCTCTAGATTTCAGGCTTTGTCCGTGGTGTGCTGGATTCACTGGGATTTGGCTGTAGCTGGATGTGGATTATATCTGGACTAGTCCTTGTAATGGAAAGGACGGGAGGAGACACACCTGACTTTAGACAGAAGTGATACCATGTTATGTGAAAAAATACACCAGTGTCCAAAAACAGGAACAGAACATCGGTGTTTCTGGCTGGAGCCAGGCACTGCAGCCCAAGCCACGCCCACGCCCTTTCTCTGCTGTCTCAAATCTGACTTCAACTCACAGCAGTTTTTGAAGATTCCTGAAAGATTCATTAAATCCCGGACATAAAATTACTGTTGGAAATCAGCAGTGTGCGTGTGGTTAATTGCAAATACAATTTCCTTTCATTTGTCAAGGAAAGCACCTAAGAAATTATGCCTGATAAGTAGCCACATAGTCACCCACAAAGAGAAGAAATGTACATGGTATTTTCATGCTGGCTGTTCACAGACATGTCCCACATTGTAATGATTCTTGTGTAAGTGCAGACGTCCCAACGAAGAGGCTCTCCCAGCTCATTCTCTCTGGGACCAATGCTGTTTGATGTGGATGTCTCCGCCAGCCTAAGTTATCATTTTATTACCAATTAGCTTTATTATTAGAGCTCAGTTTTACCATTAGTGAGGTATATGTGACCTATGTCTTTCTGATCCAACCTTTTCCTACCCTTTGCTCTACTCATCTACTTATTGAACGGATATTTATTAAGCAACTTGAATGTGCAAGGCCATGGCTTGGGGCTGAAGTATTGTCCCCGGAAGCAACAATGTCTTGAACATCCTAGATGCTTAGTAAAGACTCATTGAATGATGAGTGATGAATGCATGAAGTTTGAGAGCTGATGTCTTGGAACTTCCATTCTAATGAATGCACACAGAGCAATCAAGTAAGCAGAACATCATTTCAAACAGCAAGAGGCGTAATGAAGGACAATTTTCACCTCAGAGAGGAGTGGAGGCACTGCCTGAGTTAGGGCAGCCAGTGAAGGCCCTCTGGAGAATGCGGTGTGTGCACATCTCAGGATGAGCGTATCCGGCAGAAGGAGCTGACAGTGTAAAGGTCCTGAGGTGGGAATGAAGAGAGCTAGCATGGCTCTAACCTAATGAATGTGGTAGGAGGGAGATCAGTGAAGCGGGCAGGGCTGGGTTAGGTAGGGTCTTTAGGCACTGTAAAGAGATTAGATTTTATTTCCAATATAATGTGAAGCCATTGGAAGGTGGCAAACAGGGAGATGACATAATCTACAATTCGATTTATATTTTTAAGAGAGGGCTCTGGCAGCAGTGTGAAGAAAGGGCTGAGGGGAGGCAGGGGTGGAAGCAGGGGGACTGGCCCAGATGGGGTTGTAACAGTAGGGGAGAGACGGCCGGGCTGGGCCAGGGGACGCCGTTGGGTGGAAGCTACTGAACCTTATTTGTGGTGCAGTCAACTGGCCTTTCTGGTGAGAGAGAGTGAGACAGGCTGATCGGGGATGACTTTCTGATTTGGGGAAGAGCTGTGATGGTGCCGTGTGATTGGAGAGTCTGGAAGGGATAGTTTAGGGATGGGGAACAGCATCTCAGGCCCTGCTTTGGGCACACCGCCTTCCAGGTCTTCTGCATCTGGTCCCCGCTGGTTTGGCTCCTGCCTACCTCGCCCACCACATCCAGTTCTAAAGCATTTTATGCACTAGATACCCCACAGCGCGCTGTCTCAAACTTCTGCCCCTTCTCTGCCTGGAAGCTTCGCTGTGAGACTCCACTCAGGGCCACGTTCTCTAGAGTCTTCGTATCAGTCAGTTTCGGCCACGATGTGCTGCGCTAACAAGCAATCCCCAAAGCTCACGCCAACGAAGTTTCGTTTCCCACATTGCATGTTCACCAGCTGGATTTCACGTCTTCTTCGTCACAGGACCCAGGCTGTGTGAGCAGCCCCATGTCTGGGACCCACCCATCCCGTCTGCTGACGGACGGAAAGAAAGATGGGGGCAGTTCATGCGGCTCCTACAGCTGCTGCCTGGAGTGACACGCAAACCCTGTGTGCACACAAGTCACCAGGCCCGGCCCAGGGTCAGCGGGCAGGAGACAGACTCCTGCTCAGGGAAGATCCAAGCAGGGAGGAGCCCGGCAGGGAAGGGCAGCAGTTAGGCTTTAAATATGCCTAACACAGGGTGGTTAGCACAGGTATGTGTTAGATGGGCAGATTCTCAGGCCCACCCCAGACCTACTGAATCGGAAAATCTTGGAGGTGGGGGAAGGATGCAGGCCCAGTAATGTGGGATTCACCCGGCCCTCCCGGTGGTACTAACGCATGCTCAAGTTTGAGAACCACTGACCTCACACACTCTGACTCTCTTCTACCACCGACGAGGTCAAGGGGGCTGTTCCCCAGCACACCCACACTTCTATCACTGCGGTATTTGGAAGATACAGCCTTCTCAGTATCAAGACGGGCTTACGGTAGGTGCCTAATCAATGCTGGTGTAGCAGTGTGGCATTTGCCATACTCGCCCCGCTCTGCTCCCACCCCACCCCCTCCATAATGTTCTTGGGACCTGTGTTTTGCACGGGATCGAGGAGTATCTGGATTCCTGGAAGTCACCCTCCTCTGTCTAGACCCTCTGTCTATACCAGTCATT